CGATCTACCGTAACACACCACACACTGCAGGATGATCGGTTACGAAATCACCAGCGACAATCTTGGAACGCCCAACGTTCTAAGATTATCGTAAGGGGAAAATAGGGGCAAAAAATTGTGTAGTATGAACTACTGCATTAGGTAGTCGGATGTGCCCATCTTCTCTATTTAAATGTAGTGATTACTGAAGGGCAATACAGACTTCATAATCTGCACTCTTTCTGTTGAATGCAGTATTTATTTCCAATTTGGCTTTATGTTGTTTAGTTTTTATTCAAGTACGTTTTTTGTTAATGGAGTCTGAGAGTCCATTTTATTTTTGTTTTTGGTTGTTTTGTTTATTTAGTTTATCAGTTCCAGTGTTATGTGTTCTTTTGAAAATAAAGTGCATCTATCTATGGCAGGAAATCACATGCATTTTAGTTATTTCTATTAAATCAGTGTCAACTGGTCTTGAAACAATATTATCGTTTATCGCAATAATTTTTTAGACCATTAATCGCTCAGCAAAATTTGTTATCGTGACAGGCCTAGTGGTGAAAGCACCTTGCTGAAGAAAACAGTAATAAAAAAACTGTGATATTCTTTGAGATGGACCAAACTCCAAATGTTCCAACTTGGGCCAGAACTTAAACATGTTCATTTTAGTTAACTAATCACGTGGGTTTGAATTATCTCCAGTTTTAACTCAATTAATCACGTTTTTTTTTTTTACATACCAAAGTCCTAAGTTGGAACCATTTTACTGTGTTTCTGGTACACCCCTAAACACAATAAAATGTATTTAAACAACAATCATGAATGACAAAGTCATGTTTCTTTGCTTTTATTGTGTATTTTACTAAATACACAAAACAAATGCCACCGGATAATTTCCAGTGGGCAAATTATTTTCTATGCCCACTGGAAGATGATTTTTGCTTCTAAATAAATCAATAAATCAATAAATAACAACAATCAGATTGGATGCTGAAAAACACTATTGCTGTATTCAAACGAATTCCCACCACTAGTTCCAACTAGGGCTGGACAATATATCGAGTATACTCGATGTACAGCGATCATTTCAATTTACGATAGTTAAATTGGCTATATATCGCAAATTGTTGTTCAAATAATAAACTTTCGCCGTCAAATTCACTGTGAGTATGGTTTATCCGACATCCTATGAATGCATCACTAGTCCCTCCCCACTCCCAACCTGAAAATGTTCTACCAATCACGCTGCTCGGAGAAAACAAACAATATGCTCCGGCCTGGCAACAACTTCGAATGTGTAAGCTAAGCTCCACCGTTAGCCTCCATGTTTACTTCCGCAAACACTGAGCACTACTTCTTCTTTTTATGGCAGTTGGTAGAAAACTGAGAACGCTGACACTATTGCGCCCTCTACTGCGCATGCAGGACACTTTCAGGTCGTTTGCCCGTTCAGACTGCAGAACGCATACATTTCGCATTCATTGGCAGTGTGAACAGCTCCAGCAAAAAAATCGGAATTGCCAAAATATCGGAATTGAGTCACTTCAGGCTGCAGTGTGAATGCACCCTGAGATGGTAACTGAAGAGGAGTCAAATGAACTAGTCTAGTTCCAAAGAGAAACAGCGCTGGATCAATAATTTGACAGTGGTTTGGATTTTATATGGAGGATGTCGAACAAAATTAGGTAATTTGCCAAACATGTTATAAAACTATTGCCACAAAAGGCTGTACCACAAATTTATTTCCCCCCCAATCAGACTACGTATTCTTTTACATGCCGTTCATAGCCGCGCTGCCGCGGTAGAACTAATCCGTTAAAGTGAAACCTGGAGACGTAGGTATGATTCATTTAATGCTATGCAATGGGAAAAATAACTCAAAACTACTCATTCTTTTTCTTCTCGCTCTCTGTTGGCTTTACGATACACAGAGATTCATTGCCATAGCATCTGACAACAACGCAACTTTATGCATCAGGATTCAGCTCCAAAAACACTCAAACATTACCCTACATAGAACAGAACATTCAGTTACAGTTTGATGTGTATTTTGCAATTTTTTTTTATTATTTGGTTCTAGTGGCCTTTATTTGATAGTTAATTGACAGGAAAGTGGGTAATGAGAGAAGGGGGAAGACATGCAGCAAAGGTCGCCAAGGCCAGGAATTGAACCTGCGACAGCTGCGTTGAGGACTAAGGCCTCCATATGTGGGCTGTGCTTAACCCCTGCGCCACCACAGCACACCTGTATTTTGCGATTATTAATGAGTGATTGCTGTGGTAGATTAGCCACCGCTGCTATTAGCCACGCTAACACAGGGTGGCTGATTAGCTCATTTAAACAGCTGCTTTACTGATGATCTGTCAGTTTGTGAGTAGGTCGCCTTTTTTACTTTTAAGCTGAACCAAAACACCATATATCACAGCCCATCTATATGTTAAGTTTGTCAAAGTCAAGCATAACTGACCTACTTCCCTCTCCCTCGCTATTTTTTTCTTAGTTAAAACTTATTTCTCACCATGTTATCTAGTCATGGTGTAGACAGTTCATAGCAAAATACTGCATCACTTTTTATATGAGCTTACATTTAAATCTAGCAGAGAAATGGGGGCAGGAACTTGCAGACATCATGCTGCAAGGGGTCTATAGTTTAAAATAACATTGGAGCTCAGTTAAGAATACCGTGATCTATATTGTCTATCGTGATATAGCAAAAATATATCAGGATATTAGATTTTCCTCATATCACCCAGCACTAGTTCCAACATCTTGCTGAATCTACCTGCAAGCTGCTTCTAATGAAGTGACTGATGAGAATGAGCCCATGCCAGTAATTGTTCCAAATCGCTCCAAGCAATATCTATTGGTAGGTGTTGAAGGGACAGAAAGCTTTGACCAAACAGTATGATAGAGTCCTCCTCCATGTCTGCTGTTGAATCCTAGCTAACATGAATTCATTTCAAACTCAGTATGTTTTTTATAACTCACCACAAAGCTGTTATCCTTGGAATTGGAGGTCAGTGTCATTCCTAGTCTCATCTTGTCCTTCCTCTCTGTCACGTTGTCCAGAGAAAGTTTTCCTGATCAGAATCAAAACAATCTAGATGTAAAAAATAAAATGTAGCACACTTGATCACTACATTCAGCTATCCTTATGTTAAGGCATTTAGGATTTTCTTTGGATTAATCAGGTCCTTTCCTTTTTTCCACCTTGAATGGAACAAAATCGCATTTCGGACATAAGCATCATCCCAAAAAGCTCTGTAGGAAAAACAACAATTTAAAGGAGAGTGCTGCCAGACAGCAAGGAAACTTTAACAAGGCCCCCTTGGTTATGCCTAGGCATAACCATTTGATGGTAAATATGGAATTATGTTCTAATATTTGGATAAAGACAAAAAAAATAACACCAAAACAAATCAAAGCAGTATCTATTAATTCATCTCTGAAATTGTCTTTTTAAACTATTACCTTACAATGATAACCAGGGGCGCTGAAAGGAATTGTGGGCCCCCTGACAAAATTTTTTTTGGGGCCCCCTGCGCAGCTGTTACAATTTTTTGAGTCTATTTGACCCATAAAAAGCGTCACAATTTTAAAGGCTTGCATCTGCCTTGCTTTCTTTGGTTCAATACTGATAATTAGCACAATATTTACTGCTCATGAATTTAACATCCAACAGTCCACATCCAGTATGCAAGTAGGTTGCTTAATTTTGTTTTAGACACTGAAATGTTTCTCCCCATGAGCAACAGTCAAAAGCAACGTGCAACGAGCAATCCAGACTTCTCAAAAAGGCTATGTAGTTGCATTTTATTCAAGCTGCAGTACATAACTTTAATAAAAAAATATGTTTTCTCCATGTTTTCTGTCACCATGTCGTAGCAGTTTGTTATGAGACAGATAATCTGTGAAAACAATCAATCTCCTCCATCTCCTTCCTGAACTACTATTACTGGTTAAAGTAATAAAAGTAATTAAAGTAATGCACCGTTCTGACCAAAACAACCAATCAAAACTATAGTAGGACCCTCTTAGTGCTGTCAATTAGCCTCATTCACTCACTGCTAAATGTGCTAATGGTGGAGAAACAACTTATTACAAGAAACCATTTATCTGCCGTCATTGGTAGCTATGCTAACTAAACTGAGCATTCACAGTTTGAATCTGCACAGCTCTGTGCTATGCTAACTGCAGCACGGCACAAATCGAGGGAGAGGAAGGATGAGCAGCACCACATGAGATTGTGATTGACAGCACTAAACCTCTCCTGCCACTGACTGGTTGTTTCTAGCACTGGGAGAAGGCGGAGGAAATAGATTTTTCACAGATTACCTCTCATACTATACTGTCACAACATAATGACAGTTTTAAAAAATATGTGAAAAAAATATAAAAAAGTGACATACTGCAGCTTTAATTTGACTCAGAAGAAAACGGGTCAGGAGGGACGTGGATTAGAGCTGCTGCTGATTGACTCATCTGTTGTAAGTGGTAAAAGGTACAAGGGACAAGTTAAACATATGAATATGTTGGTAATGTTTTTCCTTAATTCATTAAATGCTAGTGAAAAGGAGGGAAACAGCTGTTTGTAGCTAAACTAACTATGCTAAATGTTTGATAATCTCACACAGTCTACTCACCTCTCTTGGAGAAAAACTGGGTTATAAATTAACACTCTTGCCTTTTTCTCTCTCTCTTTTTTGAAAACCTGATTTTATAACTTTTCTTAGCAGCACAGTAACTGCCACAATCGTTCGTGTTTTCCACTGTCTTCGGGTGAACAGCGTCATGGTGAAGCGCTCCAAGCAGGAACGAACCATTTAACACAGATAGGGGTGTTCAGGGAAAATATGGATGTATGTTTTTTGATCTGGGAATGGGAACATTAAATTTTTACTGCTAAAAACAAACTTTGAAAATACAATATGATTAATTTTGTAATTGACAGAGTCCCGATTTTTTTTTAATTTCTGAACTAAAAATAAATAATTAAATTGTGGAGGGCCCCCTGTTGGTCAGGGACCCTAGAATTGTCATCACTTTCCCCCCTATACCGTGCCCCTGATGATAACTTTTAACAATAGAAGTATTATGGCTCCATCAGTGAAGAAAAACTCAGCTGACGTTCTAGGAGGACAAATCTTAATGCTTGACATATAAGATGAGGAGTATGATACGATACAAACTTAAGCAGCAGCATTCACTGGACAGCTCTTGGTTAAAGAAAACTAAATTATGCCAAATTCATTTTTAATATGAGTTGATTTAAAACAAATATTCAGGAGCTTGGAATTCTCTAAAATGGACCTTTTATTCACAGGAAATACTCCTCAATATGAAAACAAATGAGATGACATCATGACTTGTAGAATAAAAAGTTGTCAATTACAGAGGATTGTGACACCCACAGGACTGATTCAATTAACTTGAAACCAGAAATGATGTCATCACATTCTGAAAATACTCTTCTCTAGATCATGGAAATCCACGAGGCAGTAGTCAGCATCCTGGTACATGAAGTGAGTGAGTGAAACTCACAGTAAACGCAGGGAGCAGGAACAATTCCAACAAAATGTAGAATAACCAAATTTCCCCCACACTAACAAACCTGTATGGAAAATATATACATATGTGAAAAGAATATAACAATAATAAACATCATAAATGTAAAAACACAAATCACCTATTGCATATGTCTGCTCAGAGTTTGGCATATTGTGTGCATATGGTGTGAGAATATTGTGTTGAACATTGTAGACATATGGCCAGAGTGGAAACGTTATGGTGTTTAGGAGAATTTGAACAAGGATTTTATTAAAGTTTTTAAGCTAAAAAAAAAAAAAAAAAAAAAAAAAGAAGAAAAAAAATGCTAGCTTTTGAGGGGAAGGGAGGTTACCAAAAGGTGTGCAAGTAACACTGCTGCTGCAGGTGATTCTATTCTATTCATGCCAATGGACTCTTTCACTAGGAATTTTTATCAAAAGCCAATAGACATGAGCTGCCTCTGGACTCCTGACCATTCATAAATCACAATTTCATGCAGGGATAAACCCAACATCTGAGAGAGCACTAAAATGAAGGTCAGCAGTGTTAACTATAGGAAGTGTTGTGTGGTCTTGATGTTAAAAATATACAATAACATCCGTTAAGTCAGGCTATACCTTTATTTTTAAAGGAAAAAGTGGCAGAGAGTAATATTGTTGTTGCTAGTTGAGCAAATACTTCAGATTTTGATTCAATAATTTTATATCTCACCAGCTTAATCTTCTCAGACTATGAATGTCATAATCTTTGGGACTTTGGTTTCATCACAAACCAAAGTTTGTATAGAAATATATTTTCTATATTTGCATTCAGATTTATGTTGTACTTTTTTGCTTTTTTTTTTGAGTAGATCATTTTATGCTCTGTTTTAATTGTGCATTAATTCTGTGTTTATTCAAGTAATTTTACCTGAGTTATCTTTGCATGTCTCCCTTCCAGCCGACATTCATCCTGTTAGTTAGACATATTAACCTCTCCAGCATTTATGCCTCTCGGTTTCTGCTATCCTCCTCTGATTTCTACAGTCGTACAGCTCCTTGTTGCTTCTTGTTGTTCCCGGTTCCTCTCATATCTGTCATCACTTTTGTCATCAATAAATGCACCACCATACATTATACTGATGCCACAATGAGATTGAGGGGTATGTAAGAATACCTTTTTGCATTGTGTTGTAAAGACCATACATCAGGGGTGTCCAAAGTCGGTCCTCGAGGGCCGGCATCTTGTATGTTTTAATTCTCTCTCTAGTGGTAATAACAACCTCTTCAGCAAGTCAATGTTCTCCTTAGGCCTTCTAACAAGCTATCATTTGATGCAGGTGTGCTGAACCAGGGAGAGAACTAAAACATGCAGGATGCTGGCTCTCGAGGACTGACTTTGGACACCCCTGGCATACATCATATGCTACATATGTCATCTCAAGCAATACATAGTTATACTTCAATGAAACCCCATCATGCTTTGTTCATAATGCAGCAATTATTTGAAAACACCTCTGCCACATTTTCATGATCTACTGATGATTTAAGGTTTGCTCACCAAGGTCAAGACGGCTGCAGTTTGAAGAGCTTTTGATATCCAGTGGACATTTATAAACATCACCAGTTTGCAGTTGTCCTGTGTATTCAAAGGGAGCCCCGACCAGCAACCTGGAAAACACACACAGAACTGTTTGCCTCTCATGCCATATTAGAACTTCAGTCACGGTCAATCAACACAGAATTACTGAATAAAATGCAATGCCCCATCCATCCATCCATTTTCTGAACACCCTTGTCCCTCAGTGGGGTCGGGAGGGGTGCTGGTGCCTATCTCCAGCTAACGTTCCGGGCGAGAGGCGGGGTACATCCTGGACAGGTCGCCAGTGTGTCGCCCCAGTTTAAAGCAATTACAGAACAGATGAGAAACAAAGTTATTTAGCTCTGTTAATCTGGAAAAGATTACAAACCAGTTTCTTCAGGAGCACAACAATTCATCCAGGAAATCACTTAAGAACCCAGAAGATCAAATAAATTATCAAACACACCGCTTGCATCTGACTTTTCAACAACCAGATTTTTACAGGACATAGAGTCTCTGACACGACAGTTTCTCTATGGGACACCAGCAGGATCATATACATGTGAATACTTTGCGTTACGCTGGCATTCCATATATGCTGGATAAAGAATGCCAGCATATACAACGCTCACTCTTTCGCTTTTCTATGTACTTCTAAGGTCCCACCACGGGTAAGTACACTATTTGTTTTGTGGGTAAAATTATTTAGTTTGTATTTTCCTCCAAAGCAGATGTGTTTCACTTTGCCACTGAGTCTCACCCGTGACAGTTCCATGACATTGTCGCGTAGCTCCAAACAAAATCATGTCTGTCTTGACAGGCGAATCAGAGACAGAGCCACACAGATTTGTCTGTGATGTGCAAGATCCCATTGACTTTAACATGTTCTATTTTCTGTGTACATCATCCTACCCAATTTTCCAGCAGACTAGAGAGCAAAAGTAGATCTGGTGTGGTTTCAGGCCCTAAGGTCAGTGTTCATGATTCACATTAAAAAACAGATTGGACAGAAATGCCCTCAATAGGAGAGTTCTAAGGCTAAAATGAAAAGGTCCGTCTCACATTTGTTACAAATGTCTTTATGTTCCAGAAGACTCCATTGAAAGGGTGCCCAAGTCCAGTCCCTGAGAGCCACCATCCTGCAACTTTTAGATTCATCCCTGCTCCAACGCACCTGAAAGAAATTAATCTCTCGTAACCAGAGCTGAATGACTGCTGGTGAGTGTTCTGGATATATGATTCTGTGTCTTTACTCTAACTCTTTTAGCTGCTCACATGCAGCTAAAAGAGTTGCAACTTCACATGATCATGTGAAGTTAAGGAAATAACTTCAAGTTAGAGGCTCAGTTAGAGGCCTAAAAAAGGAATTGAATTTTAATGTTTGGGGCCCTTAAGGCCTCATGGCAGTGGTCCAGCGCTGAAATGGTTAACTTTTCTCTGTTGTTCCAATACATTGCTATAAATTGTTTGGCGTTAATAAATTGGACTGATGATTTTAACTTTGTTTTTTTGATCCATCCCAGTAAAAAAATTTTGAGTGGATGCAAGGAATTTCACTTATTTGATACAGGTGTGCATCAATGATGGCCAAACAAAGCCTCATGAAACAATGAAGCTTCCCAGTCCATTGTGTTGCCCAGAGGTTCATTACTCGGTGGTTCATTCATTCCTCACTAGTGACATCTGCTGCTGAAATTGTGGCAGTCTTGTCACTCAGATGGACATAATTCAAAAAATTAGTAAATTCAGCATTGTCACAAAGTTTTTGTCAAACTCATGTTTAGTAACAGGAGAGTCAATTAAATCCTATTTAGCTGTAATCGTATTTAGTTATTAAAATGATTTGTAGCCAAACTAATTATGGTATATGTTGACTGTCAGTGACTGTTTTCTTTTATGTAATCGACAGATATGACAATAAAGACATTTGTTTTAGTGTATTGGGAGTGCAGGGTGCTTGTTGAGGCAGAGTACTCTTCAAGTTTTGATTTGCCTCCTGAAAACTACAATTCTTCAAAAAAAAACAACATTTTTTTCTAGGATTTCTAGTTGGCTCTCTAATCCCTTATATTTTTACTCATCAGGCCTGATTTTTACTCTTTCAACAGCTTTAAGTTTGTTTCTGCTGTGCAAGACTGATATATCTTTGCTGATCAAAATAATAGTTGACATTTCCAGATGCTGAGAATTTTGGAGGTCAAGAGGTTAATTATTTTTATTTAAGATTATTGTGAGCGATCATCTTAAAGTATTCAAAGATGTCAGAGATTTTCTTCTTGCTAGCTCCATGTCAAATTTCTCTGTTTCTATTATTCCAGTGTACCCAATACCATATAAGTGATATCTTGTAAGTGTACTGCCTTTTTCTATAAGACTACTAGAAGACTGGTTGTTCTTTTCTGCTCTCTAACATACATTCTTCTGCTGTACTATCACTGAGCCACCAACATTACTATTAAAAACACATAACACCACATGTGGCTTTGAAGATTATTGTGGGAAAAGGGCTGAGTCACATTCCACAGGAGATGACATAGGAAAATGGTATGCCAGTTTTAGCTACTTTACCTCCTTCCTGCTAATGTGTCTTCTTCCCACATCAAAGGGCAGAGTTAAACCACATCTCAAAAAGCAGACTAAGTTCACAGCCAGCAGCAGTACAAACAGCGAAGGTTTGTACTTTGCTGTTTGTACAAACAAACAGCAAATTAAAAATGATTGAGCTTAATTAGCTCAATGTTTTCAAAGTGGAGGCCACCTAAGGCTCTAGAGGGGACTCAAAACTTGAAGGGGAAAAATATAAAAATAAAAATGATAAAGTTTTAAATTAGAAATATGATTTTATATACAATTTAAAATGTTACAACCATTATTATAGAACATAAGTAAAAACAATTTATTCAAATGTTATTTGACAAGCTCATCTTTCTGATTGCCTGTCAACTTTGTCATGCTGCTTTTCTCTTCAAGCTAGCATAGCACGGCCAACTAAAATGAAAAGGTATGACGCAGCATTTATGCTAAACGAATGTAATTATTGAGAATAGAGAACAGTGAGAAAAACACTGTCACAGCTACCTAGTAGAGGTTTCTTTTTTTCCTCTGGCGCTGCATGCCATGTGACCGAAGACTGCACTGCTCACACCCTGCAGACTACACTGCAGGTGAGCTTATATATGTCTATATGCCACAATGGTGACGTACTTCCGTTTAAATTTTCGCCACATAGATTGTTTCCGGGTTCCGTTTGCTCCTATTGTTTTTAACCACAACTGCAAGAGCTGTTCCATGAACAAGATGCAAAAGTTAAAATATCTGCGAGCTACTGGTACAACAACTGAGTTTTGTTGTGTGCCGTTGTGTCCATTAGCTGGTACCATCCAGTGCTTAGTTGTTTTTTTTTTTTTCATTTTCCTGCTGATATCAAGGAGACAGTGGACCGTAGCCAAAACTTAGCCACTAAAGTTAACACACGGTTTGTAGCTGCCTGCTGTTTCAAAGCTTGAGGATACTGAAGATCCAGCGTCAGAAATGGGAAGACGGTGGTTAAAAGGGAGCTGTACGTGCCTCGTTTAGTGGAATAATTTGTTGGAGGAAAATAATGCGGGAGGAAATCCACTGTTACGGTAATAGGCTGAGAACAGAGGCAGCGATTTGGCACAAGGTAAGCCAGTGTGTGTGTTGATATATGCGTTTGTACGGAGTATGAAATTATTTTTAGGCAACTCCTTAGTTTTTGTTTATATTACAATTATATAAAATACATTTAACATGCAGTCGGAGCGCCCCTCTGATACCGAGCACAGTAATTTAAGAACAGCCGAGGGCAGCAACGCTTCAGCCCTCGGAAAATTATTCCATCTTTATGTTCTACCAACACCGAGCAACATGATCCTAACCACACAGGTAGCCGGTCAAATTAAAGTCCAAAACCTTTGCTTTACAGCCGTAGTGTCACCGATCCACATGAAAAATCCACAGAACAAGTGGTACAAATGGTAAAGAATCACCTATTTCCCAAATCCCAAAAATATGACATCGTACCTTTGCTGTTTGTTTCATAATTATAATCCACATTAGAGTGAATTTTTCTATTTGGCTGCTATAATCTGTTCATCTGTTACACAGTTGTAATTTTGCTTTTTCTTTTCTCTGAGATTCTGCTTAGAAAATTAGGATTAGGCTATGAAGTTACATCCTCCCGTAGTAAATGTTTCAGTTCTCTCTTACTCAGTAATGTTCATTTTATCAGAAGAGAAAGAATTAAAATCTTTTGACTAGTTTTATTCTCTCTTCTGCCCAGATTCATCGATGCCGTCATTGTATCAGCTGAACCATAAAGACAAGACAAAACGTTTTTCCAAGTCCAAAACATAAACATTTATTAGACAAACAACTAATGAAACTGACAAAACTCAATAAAATCACAAACCAGCATCCAATTCAATATTTACCTCACTCCACAGACATCCACACACCACGACAAACGTTACGGGGAACCATTTCACCGACGCACCGTTCCCCGGATACAGCATCACGGGTAACCCCGGAGCGATCTGAAGTTAAGATTCCGGGTCTTATACTTTTAAAGGGAGGGCGTGTTTTCCCTTCTCTGCTGTATTCAAATTAGGGGACTGTCCTTAGCTAAGTTCATTTAAATCTAGTTGACTATGTTCCAGTAAAAACCTGTTTTTAAGATCAAAGAAGTGTTATTTTCTTTTGAATGAAGACAGATGTTTTTTATGACCCTGTTCCAAGAGGAAGCTCTACTCTGTTGGCAGGACCAGATTGTTTTACACCAGCTGTTAAATCTTATCAAGGTGGTCAAAAGGTTAAACTCACACACAGAGCCACGACCCCCTGTGAATGTCTGCTCAGTTCACAGAGAAACTAGCTGTGTTCTAATTTAGAGAGAACTACATGCCAAGTTATTTTAATTCAACTTAGTTTAATATGTTTCAATAGAACTATCCTGCATAAGAGATTACGCTAATTGAACCACGGATATAATTTGAAGTGAATTTCCTTATTTGAAACACCATTAATTTTATCTAATATTGAACATATGGTTAAGTTTGTACAACTAGCTTATTTTAAATTTATTTTCTTAACAGTAATTTAAGTGTTACACCTCTGAAATATTTTTTGCAGTTTCTTAAATTGTGATACCAGAACTGCTTCACTTAAGCATTTAATTTCCTGTGATATTGTCAAGTTATTTTCAAGCAAAACTCTGAAAAAGAGCTTAGGCTTTATTAGTTTTTGATTATGTTGTGTAGCTAAATATGAACCCTTATTAGGTTTTTTTGTTGTTAATTTTTCAGGTTTGCCTTGCAACACCTCGTGATGCGTTTCTGAGCCATGATTGAGCCGCTGTGCCAATTACCTTTCCCTTGGATCCAAGCACCTGAAGCTGCTGACCAGTATGGTGTCCATCAGTCCACGGTCTGCTGGATCATCACAGTGCGGACTAACTTTTTATTTACAGTACTTGGTTAAATTAGGATCTGGAAACCGGATGACCAGATATGCAAAAATCTACCTGCAGCCTTTGTTAGCTACCCTGACACTGCAGTCATCCTGGACTGACCTGAGCTGGTCTTCCTCTCCTCGAGAGACAAGTTTTCATCACCAGTAAAGGCAAACAAGTCTGATGTCTGAGTAACTGATGTTCATTTTGTTATCCTGTTTGTACCTACAATAAAACTGAACCTCATTTGTAATACTGCATGTAATATTTCACTAACCTTTTCTTCCCTTTTCGTTTTGTTTACATTTGATCAAGTATTTGCATGTAGGAATTCAAGTGAGATATTAAAATGCAACACTTTTAAGTGCAAAGAAATGTAAATATTAAGTAATATGCAGTTAGTCATATAATTCAATATAGTGTATAAGGCTGGATGACATGACTTACAAGATTTTTTTTATACCAGATTTAATTTTAATCAATTCTTCATGTCCTCAATTTCTATAATAAAATTACAGAAAATACTTTCAAAAAGTGCCTTTATTTCAATCGTCTCTTCTGTGAGTTGTATAAGGGAGCATTATGGCTAAGCTACAAGAATTTTTAATGACAAGAATGGAGTCATTACAGCAGAATATAGATGCAATTTTATAACAATGTCTTAAAATTACAAGAAGTTGCTTTAATGAGAAATAAAGATTCAGATTGATCTGACGTAACCAGCTCAGTCCACGTGCTTCTGACATTTGCCAGTATTCAAGAGGATGTACACTGTCACCTCAACTGACCAGGTAAGTATTAAGGTAAAAATAAAAAATAGAGCAAATATAAAAAATGGAGCTACGGATAGGAATAGTTTCTATATATAAAAAAAGCAAAAAAGGTAATAGCAGGAGAAAAGTTGTTGGCAGCATTCGCTCAGCCGATGCCTCCCTCCAGGAAGCCACCAGACAAAACTCCTGTCCAACTCCAGCTATAATAAAGATAAAAAAAATAAAGAAAATGGAAAGTTAAAATAACAAATAATGCCAATTTGATAATTCAGATCTAATGCGTTTCAGATGCAAAACACATTCTGAAATCATTGACATTTTACAAATTTCACAAATCAATTAGGTTTCACAAATGTTTTATTTATTCTGCTATCTAGTTAGGTTTGAAATATCTAGGTGTTGTAGTTTTTAAAGTACAACACATCAAAAAAAGCTCAAGATAGTGAAAAAATAAGTGTAATCGCCCTTCAGCTATTTTCCAAATTAGATGCTATATTCAGAAGTTAACTTCAGCTTCGACTGATAGCTACTCGTTGGGCTATCAACAAGTAGCTATCGTTGATAGCCCAACGATCAACTATTGTTGATAGTTTATATATATATATATA